TCGGATTGTGACTGGGCGTTCATTTATACTCGGTGACCTTTCGCAGGCGCCACTCTCTGCTACAGGGGTGTCAGGTTGTAGTTTTCCAAAGCTCTCACTGCCATGACGCGTGTCCTATATCACACGGTGTCACTAGTTTTAACGACACCAGATGATCTAAAACTGATACTAATCCTAACACCAGCTCTCCCCCCCCCCCCCCCCCAACCGCCACCTCACAACCTCAGTCTACGTCCGACAAGAGACTTAATGGCATGATGGGCGCCTTATATTACACGGTTTACATGAAATTTAAAAAAATAATAAACGATAGCAAAAAAAAATTGGTCACAGAAAATTTAAAGTAATATTTTTAAAATACAATATTATATATATATAATTTATTATTTTTATATTTTATATTGAAAATATAGTCACAAAAAAGTAATATTTTTAATATATAATATTATATATTCTATATAAAATTCATTATATTTATATTAAATATTAAAAATATTACTTTTTCAAAGACTATTTTTAGCCATCTTTTATTTTATTTTATTTTCTTTATTCCACATCACATTTTTTTTAAACGTTGCTTACGTCACCCCTTAGAGATCTGTATACTCTCATCTCCTCTTTGTTATGTTTGTTTAGTTCACTTCATGTTTCACAAAAGCTGCCCGGCCGAAACGTTACGTTCTTTGTGTTGTCTTGTGCGCGTTTTTCTGCTTTCCCTATTTGGTTAAGGCTTTTTAGTCAAATTTTCCTAGAAATCCTTGTATTAACTTGACTGCAGCGAATGCCATACATAGAGACAACGTAGGCCCCTATTGTGTGTGTATGTGTGTGTGTCTGTGTGTGTCTGTCTGTCTGTGTGTGTGTGTTATCAGGTAATTTACTACAGTGCCTATTGTTATACTGTCATCACCATCTTGTCGCTCCGTTATAAACCATTTTCGAGGTTTGTGCACTGCGTTGAGAATCTTCAGACTTAGGCTTGACTTAGAAGTAGAACAAAGCACTTATTGATTTACACCCGTGTGCCGAGATTTTGATCTTTCTACTAAACCAAACTTAACTGATAACACAACTATAGATTATGGACTTTATATCTCTGTATAATGTACTAATAAGATACAACCTTTAACAAACAATTAACATAACGCTTTATTACAGCATTGAACTCCCAGTTGATAAGACGACTGAACACTGCATCTCACTCAAAGTTCATTGTAACCATAGGATGTATTAGTTAACTCAACATACAGCTTACAATACTTAGATTTGTCATTTCATCGCAGCCTTTTGTATAAACGGCATGTAGAGCTGCAGGAACACGCATGTTAGACAAAAGAGATCATCTTAAAGCCATTTATGAGAAGAAGAAGAAGAAGAAGAAGAGAAGAAGAAGAAGAAGAAGAAGAAGAAGAGAAGAAGAAGAAGAAGAAAGAAGAAGAAGAAGAAAGAAGAAGAAGAAGAAGAAGAAGAAGAAGAAGAAGAAGAAGAAGGAAAGAAGAAGAAGAAGAAGAAGAAGAAGAAGAAGAAAAAGAAGAAGAAGAAGAAGAAGAGAAGAAGAAGAAGAAGAAGAAAGAAGAAGAAGAAGAAGAAGAAGAAGAAGAAGAAGAAGAAGAAGAAGAAGAAAAGAAGAAAAGAAGAAGAAGAAGAAGAAGAAGAAGAAGAAGAAGAAGAAGAAAAGAAGAAGAAAAAGAAGAAAAGAAGAAAGAAAAAAAAAGAAGAAAGAAGAAAAAGAAAAAGAAGAAGAAAGAAGAAAAGAAGAAAAGAAAAAGAAAAAGAAGAAAAAGAAAAGAAGAAGAAGAAAAAAGAAGAAAAAAAAAGAAAAAGAAAAAGAAGAAAAAGAAGAAAAAGAAAAAGAAAAGAAAAAGAAAAAGAAAAGAAGAAAGAAGAAGAAGAAAGAAGAAGAAGAAGAAGAAAAAGAAGAAGAAAAAAGAAGAAGAAAAAGAAAAAAAAAAAAAGAAAAAGAAGAAAAAGAAGAAGAAGAAGAAGAAAAAGAAGAAAAAAGAAGAGAAGAAGAAGAAAAAGAAGAAGAAGAAGAAGAGAAAAGAAAAGAAGAAGAAAAAAGAAGAAGAAGAAGAAGAAGAAGAAGAAGAAGAAGAAGAAGAAGAAGAAGAAGAAGAAGAAGAAGAAGAAGAAGAAGAAGAAGAAGAAGAAGAAGAAGAAGAAGAAGAAGAAGAAGAAGAAGAAGAAGAAGAAGTAGAAGAAGAAGAAGAAGAAGAAGAAGAAGAAGAAGAAGAAGAAGAAGAAAGAAGAAAAAGAAGAAAACACCGATGAAAGTATACGATGTTGAATGAATTAATAATGTGAGCTACTGTATAATTTTGGAATTAAGTATGGATCCGATAAGAAAGGTCAAATGAGAGAAAGAGCACCACTTGAGTACAACCATTGTTCTTCTAGACAGTCAGCATTCACAGATTCAAGCAGCGGGAGACAGAGCAGAGATGGGGTATGCCTGATAAACTATTGGTAAGTAATCTATAGGTCCCCTTCCCATGCTTTCAGGCGTATAGTGCCAGATCACTATTTTATCGACCAATCTGTAACCCGTGGTTGATGTGGTCATTATCACGCCGACCCACTTTACTTCCCATGACATAACCTTTTACCCATTTAAGACTGGGTCGACTTGGGTGCTAGGGTAGCACCTAAACCCACGACTTTCAGATCTGAAGGGGATGATCTAGGCGCTAGACCCCCAACGGCTGCCTCGTATGGTGTTGATTCTTAAATCAGTAATCAGTAGTTAACTCACTACCAACATAACTGTGACCAGCACACACATGTCTATGTTTATTCTGCCGGTATGGCCTGGAATTTTTAGCGTTTGATAACAATAATTAGGGCACCATAAACACATAAATAGCACATTGTATTTAAACTACCTCTATCTTAAGGTTAGTTGCGTATCCTTTACAGGACGTTGCAGAATCAACCACAGTAGCCTCTGGCGCATAGCCCGCAGCTGGGATCGAACCAGGCACCCCGGCATTACAAAGATTTCGCAGCGACTTAGCCACAGAGCCGACCTACCTCTGTCACAGAACTCAAAAATGAACTTGGCTTCTAGGTGGACCCAGCTTTGAGTGAGTACGAGTTGCAATGCTGGGAAGTGAAGGCGACCGGTGTGATGCTGACCAAATCATCCATCTTGTGCCGCTGGTCTATAAAATATAGGTCTAGCCCTATATACCCATTACGTCTGAAAGGCGTGGAAAATGGTTCTTTACTTTACTTTCACTATCACACAACTGCCACATTGCAGGTTATAATCAGAGTTTCCAGAGTTGGCACTTTCATACAAATTTGTTACTCTTTTATCCTTATCGAGTAAAGCTGAACAGACTGACTGACTGACTTTCTACCCCAGTAGGACATCACACAAGCGATAAACACCCGATGACACAATGTGCCACCATGTGGATGAGGATCACCGTGGAGATGTCCTAGAAACCGCGTTCAGCCTTTAGGTCATATTTATGGCCTGGCTATATTGCGGCCCCTGTTGTGTGCTAAATGAGTCAGCACACTACCAAGTGTCTTAGCAGGTACTCTTCCGCTTCCTCTCTTAGAAACAGAACTCGACGACAATGACACCGTCATACATGTTTATTTAACAGGATACATGACACAAATGCAGAGACGTAGTTATTGATCACAGCTGACATTCTTACATCGTTCATTTGTCCTCACTCGCTCTCTGTCTCTCAATTAGTAGCGGTCTCTCCTTGACTACTACAGCTCCAAGGACTACAGCGTCCCACACTCTGGTCGCGTCGTACAGCTGAACAGGACGACTTCTCCCAATCACTGGACCTTGATATTAATTCAGCATACAACACGGCTGACTGGAGACGGCTTCCTCTTGCCGTACTCCGAAACCAGGCACTACTGGCCTTCCGTCCACTGGACTTACTTTGCCAGTGGGAACATATCTTCTTCAGTACCGCAACTTTGACACTTACTCGGACCTAAATGCCTAATAGTCGTACGGTATTCTAGTCTGTTAGACTCGCGAAAGATATCCCGGACCCTGACTTGGTCTCTGACTCTCGATTCCTCTATATATCTTCTTCAGTACCGCAACCTCGACGCTTACTCAGATCTCAATGCCCGATAGTCGTACGGTATTCTTGTCTATTAGACTCGCGAGAGGTATCACGGACCATGACTTGGTCTCTGACTCTCGCTTTCTCTCTCTCTCTCTCTCTCTCTCTCTCTCTCTCTCTCTCTCTCTCTCTCTCTCTTCTCGCTTCTCTCTCTCGGCTGCTTCTCGATTGCCCCCGAGGGGCTTTAGCCCTCAGGCTACAGCTCACTCACCCGGACCGTCTACGCAGCCCAATTTATCCCTGTCAAATCCGTGTAGGTGGATGATGTCTACACGAGAGGCACGCTTGTATGTGCGTTTTCGTGACTCATAATCCCGTGGGTGTTCTCGGGACTCACGCTCACATGGGCGTTCTCGAGGATCACGCTTATGTGGGTGGCTGATGTTACCTGAGAATCACGCTGTCACTTAATTTACACTTTCTCTGTTTATCTCGTTATCCATGCTTTCAGCCCCCCCCCCCCCCCCCCCCACACACAGAAACCCACGCGTCCACTTTCTCTCGAGCGTGCACGCATTGTTCATGAATAGACATTTTCACTGGTCTCCTCTCAATACTCGGACCAAGTTGACACTCTTCCCCCGTGAACTTACAGACAGTACTGACCTCCCACTGTCCCTTCTCACAATATCACACTTTACCCAAATCAGCGCGCAACAGGCCCCTGGCAAGAGCCAGAGTAGGGCTTCAAATAACGTAACAAAAAAATGTCGGGAAGTAACGCTGAAATTTTAATGCCACCCCTAATATTTTGGTACCTTTCATTTTTTTTCTCGGTTTAACAATCTCGGGAAGAGTTTCTTGGGAATAATTTAACAATAAATGCATTGGTGAGATCACAGTGATTGCTCCAGGACAGTAAATTGTGAAACATCCTGGCTCTTAAACATGTACTCATGTAAGAGCAAACATTTCCCTGTAGCTCAAAGAAGGAAGAGAATTCTCGTAACGTCTGAGTAACTCCAGGGCCGCGTCCAAAGCCTGAGAACCGTTGGAGACTAAGATTGTGTTGCTGAGACCCTGTGTCCATGTTTTGTGAAACGAGGATAACTTTAAATACGGCGGGTTGTCTATGATCACATGTGGGATGTTCAACAACGTAGACAGAATATGTCCATGCAGACGATCCGTGACCACAATTCTACCTCTCTGTAGAAACTGAAATCCTTCTGACGCTATTATGAATACATTCTCAACCACTCGGTTCCCTGTATTTGACCGCCATTTTAACCAGTCACTCGCGTTAACACTAATATTGTCAGGAATGTTAGGAAAAGTGTAACTTGAACTTTCTGTGTCTTCTCTTCGTAGCCAAATGATATCATACAACGGTGGCATTTGTCGAAGTATCATTCCAATACAGAAAGCCAGATCCGGTGCAAGAATAAGTCTAACGGCCTTGAAGTTTTTCTTAGCTATTTCCAGAGACTGTCGATCTCGTAGGAATATTACTAAATTGGAACGATTGGAATACGTTTGTCGAGCAAATTTCAAATCTACAGAGTACTTCCCATGTAGCCAGATGCTTTGTGAGAAAAGGATGCAGTTTCTTTCGGGAAAAGCATCGATGTACTTTCTTCGTATCCGATCTTCAAATACATATCCTACCAAATTACCACCTCCTTGCAAGAGGATCACCAAATCATCTTTAGGGTATCCTTTACTAACTTTTATTGCTTTCCGCAAATTGCGAATGCAAGAATGGGCCTCGCAATGGAAAACAATAGTTTTGTTGAGTTTGTCCAACAGGAAAACTTCTCCGGCAGCTATGGCCGGGTCGCCTTTGTTTTCAAAGACAGGGATATCTATCAACATTACGTGCTTGGCTTCGCGTAATAGGTCTTCCATTAGGTTAACCAGAATCCTCTGCGCTTCCTCTACGATTTCCTTGTTTGTCGTCAGCGTCTTGGATCTCTTGTCTGTGTCTTCCGGATGGTCCACCAGACGCCAAGAAAGAAACTCCTTCATTTCTGGGTCCGTTTCAGCTTCTCTAATGTGACTAGCGTCTTCAGGTAAACTATGAAATGTGATATATTCCTGTTTGTGGTGGCGATGTGGAGAAGACGTCAAAGATGTGCTCTCGCGCTGAATCATGCAGGCTGTATGTAGACATATAACTGAGACAAGCACCAGTAGCAGAAATGTCACACAGGTCTTGTGTTGTTCACCTTCATATGTGGTGTCTTCTGTAATCACATTAAAAAATGTACATGTCCACAATCCGACATCTAAGGTATACAGATAATTTTTATTTTGTGTAGTTAAAATGTATTCGTTTGTACTAATTTTTCAAAATTTATAATGTAATGATTTAAACATATCTTGCTCTGTCCCTATCTGACAACACACAATGTGCGCATTGACTGGTCTACACACTTTACGCAGTGGCTAATTTTTCCTGACACGTCTTTTTTCTCTTTGGCCTTTGCTACTTTAACTTATCTGGTTCCTTCTTTTTTCCTAATTTGAGCTCATTTAAACGGGGCGCATTTATGTCTTTCTTCTTCTTCTTCTTCTTCTTCTTCTTCTTCTTCTTCTTCTTCTTCTTCTTCTTCTTCTTCTTCTTCTTCTTCTTCTTCTTCTCTTCTTCTTCTTCTTCTTCTTCTTCTTCTTCTTCTTCTTCTACTTCTTATTCTTCTTCTTCTTTTCTTCTTCTTCTTCTTCTTCTTCTTCTTCTTCTTCTTCTTCTTCTTCTTCTTCTTCTTCTTCTTCTTCTTCTTCTTCTTCTTCTTCTTCTTCTTCTTCTGTTGCTTCTTCTTCATTTTCTACTTCTTGTGTTCGCTTTCTGATTTACGCGGGCAAACAAGTTATTGTGATAAACTTGACTGTTTTAATGACTTCTCTGTTAGTTCCATACCGCTTTGATTTCAATGTTGACTAAGTGAGCCAGTATTCCATTTTTATAGGCTTTTCAAGGGACATTCTTGCAGGACATGTTCTGCGGACTGCACACATAGCCCACAATGGGCACAGTGCTGAACTACTGAGACGAAGCCCCTGCATAAGCTTGTTAAATTTGTTATGTTTTGTCCGGAGACGTAGAATAATAACCAGTCAAGTAAGTGGTAGTCCTCTTTGGCCAGATTCTAGTCCCTTCTGATAGACTGGATGGCCCATTTCTTCAAGCCAGCGTTCCTGTCCGTTTTACTGAGGCACGAGATTCACAACTTATATTAATGGCGACTGACTGGGAAGATCTGTTCACGTTACAAAAATCCACCACACCAAGTATCTTAGATCTAAAAGCCATCACATATTAGTAGCGTTTATCTTGGTACTTTAATTTGAGAGGACCCCATTTCGTTGGCTTCGAGATTTCATAGGAAACTCCCAAGGATTTCCCTGGCCAGTACAATATTATGGAGGGGTTGGGGATGGCTTGGATTAGGTCTAGTGCTTAATGAATAACGACTAATACTAACACTAAGCCTATTCCCCCCCCCCCCCCCCTCTCCTTTTTTTAACTATAGGGCATTCTGGGAATTTCCCAATTAAACCCCGAAATTCCCAGTGTGGGTTTCAAGGCCTTTTTATAGGGAATAGATTCACCGCCTACCAAAAAGCATATCGTAAGAGTCGACTAATTGGGAGCTTCCTTTAAAGTCGGAGTGTATCTGCCTAAGAGGCAAAAGACTAACAGTATGCATACAAATTAGTCAGATCTGTCAAATGGATTTACACGCAACACTCAGGTTCTGGAACAGGACTGCAGTTCAGAAGTGGTCGAACAACAAATTTTTCCGCCGAAGTTTACTTCTGGTGAACACGAAGAAGAAGAAAAAGAAGAAGAAGAAATCCCGAAACGACGAGTTGGGCTCGTCCAAAATTAAAGTACCAGTATATGCTCAGACGATCAATTCTTAACCCATCCCCGATTGTCATATTCTTTGTCCCTAATTCCTGCCTAATTTTCACCTTCCAAGAAGAGAGAAATAGGGCATTTTTAAGGTTGATAGAAAGTCCCGGATACATGCTACTACAGACAGCTGTATGTTAAAACTAGAACTACACATCATTCTATTTTGTGGTGCATTTGTTTTAATAGACTAAGATTGCATATGTTGGTCTAGCGTCACGCACCAAATGAACCCCTCAGACTGTGGTAGATAGACACTTTATTGACAAAGTGCAACACATATTGGGTCGCTGATCTCCCGAATAGGTCTTTGATCGTGAGAAGCAGCTCGAGGTGCCCTCGTCTACGTCAACTGGCAACAACTTTTAAGCTGTATCAACCGTTTCGCGATTTGATTCCGCGAGCCCTTGGATCTTTTCTCCAGGCGATGCCGGCGTAGAGGGTAATGAACACGCAGACAGATTGGCTGGATCGGCACTACTGGGTGGAGAATGATACATGACAAGGCAGATGTGGTCAAGGCCCTTTGGGAATAAGCAACGGAATCAGTAGAGAAACAAGATTATTATGGCCTGGAGAGAATGAGACACCTGGGTGTAACCTGAGAGTCTGGCCGGCTCACTACACTCAGAGGAAAGGCACGACGGACTTTTAACCAGACTGTGACCGGTACCATCAGTATTGGAACAATGCGCTGGCTGCCGAAGATGATGACGGAGCACGCATGGGAATGCCCCGAGTGCTGTGATGCCAATTATTTACTCAACTAAACGCAACCCAACTCCTTAGACACTGCATACAATTAATCCTTTCCATAGAACACAGGCCGTGCAATATTTAATGTGTATGAAAGGGAAAAAAGGTAGGGGGGGGGGGGGAAGAGGTGGGGGTTAGTTTTTCTGATGTTTGTGATATATGTCTTTAAGTCAAATCCTCTTTCAAAGCATCTACATTATTCGTACCGTTTATCCGATAAATTTTAATATCCTTCTGTAATATCACATCTCTGTCCTATTTACTAATGTCCATATTTAATGAGAAGCGAAAAGCAGAAGAAAAACATGAAGATGAAAATGAGGATGCTGTGGTGGTTGAAGAGGAATGGGGAAAAGGAGCAAAAAAGAAGGTGAAAAACAGAAGACAAGATGAAAAGGAAGGAGAAGATGAAGAAAATGGACAAGAAAAAGAAGAAGAAGAAGAAGAAGAAGAAGAAGAAGAAGAAGAAGAAGAAGAAGAAGAAGAAGAAGAAGAAGAAGAAGAAGAAGAAGAAGAAGAAGAAGAAGAAGAAGAAGAAGAGAAGAAGAAGAAGAAGACGAAGAAGAAGAAGAAGAAGAAGAAGAAGAAGAAGAAGAAGAAGAAGAAAAAGAAGAAGAAGAAGAAGAAGAAAGAAGAAGAAGAAGAAGAAGAAGAAGAAAAAGAAGAAGAAGAAAGAAGAAGAGAAGAAGAAAGAAGAAAAGAAGAAGAAGAAGAAGAAGAAGAAGAATGAAGAAGAAGAAGAAGAAGAAGAAGAAGAAGAGAAGAAGAAGAAGAAGAAGAAGAAGAAGAAGAAGAAGAAGAAGAAGAAGAAGAAGAAGAAAGAAGAAGAAGAAGAAGAAGAAGAAGAAGAAGAGAAAAAGAAGAAGAAGAAGAAGAAGAAGAAGAAGAAGAAGAAGAAGAAGAAGAAGAAGAAGAAGAAGAAGAAGAAGAAGAAGAAGAAGAAGAAGAAGAAAAAGAAAAAGAAGAAGAAGAAGAAGAAGAAGAAGAAGAAGAAGAAGAAGAAGAAGAAGAAGAAGAAGAAGAAGAAGAAGAAGAAGAAGAAGAAGAAGAAAAAGAAGAAGAAGAAGAAGAAGAAGAAGAAGAAGAAGAAGAAGAAGAAGAAGAAGAAGAAGAAGAAGAAGAAGAAGAAGAAGAAGAAGAAGAAGAAGAAAATGAAGAAGTAGAAGAAGAAGACAAAAGGAAGGAAAAGAAAAAAAATAGATGAAGAAAAAGACGAAGAAATGTAGAATTTATAATAACACGACACCTTTGATTTGTTCACACGACTTTTGGTCTTCGCCAATCTTCCCGTGTATATAGACAAGAAGCCCAGCCAGTGCTATACCTAGCCCCAGGAAGTTGCTCGCTGACAGCTCTCGAGTTCCTAGAGCAGACAGCAGGAGCACCACGAGAAGCCTCTTGAAGATGTTGGCGACTGAGTGGCTGACGACATTCATCACCTGAAGAAGAGAGTAAGTGCCAAGCCACGTACAATAAACAGAAACAGGGTAACTGCTAAACACATTTAATTATCCTACGATCATCCTCTTTACCGCTTACCTCAACTAACGGATCTAATGTCTCATCATTATCATCATAAACCACTTTTGCCGTTAAGCGTCGTGGGAAGGAATAATTTGCGATCCAGTGCACGTTGGTTGCTACTGGCTATTGTCATGCCGTAAAGGCGTAGAGTATTTTTAATGTTGTCGATTCATGTTTTCACTGCCGTCCTCTTGCTCTTGTAGCTGATCTTCTGAGATGTAGTGCTTGTGGTGGTATTTGATCTTGCGGCATTCTAACGAGATGGTCAAACCACTTGATCTGCTGTTTCTCGATGAATCTAGTACAAGGTGTCGTTCCCACAATTTGCCTGATAGTTTCATTGTTCACTCGATCTTGTATGGTTAGGCTGTCTGCTTTTCTCAGGCACCTCATCTCGCCGGTGGTGATTTTGCTAATATGGGCTTTAGATAATCTCCATGTTTGGCACTGGTAGCTTAATGTTGGAATGAATATGCTATTATTAATCTGTCTCTTTGCACACATACTTATGCTCGGATGTCTTAATAATGGCGACAATTGGTATATAAGTGCACTTGCATTCTGACATCTGGTTTCTACTTCTCTGTCAATTCTACCGTCTTCTGTGATCATACTTCCTAGAATCTAATGTCTAATGTGCCTAAAAATGGGTGACATGACATCACCTACGAATTAAATATGACCTTTGTATTGTCACCTAATGAAAGATCATTGATCTGTGCATAAACAAATACTGTTGTCCTAACCCTGTATGGGGGCGCCACCGTGGTGTAGCGGCTAGACGCTAGCCTGCGGCTAGGAAGGTTGTGGGTTCGGGTTCTGACGGAGCCGGACTTTTTATTTTATGACCACGGCTCTAAGGTCGACCAAGCCTTAAATAGATACATTCATGAGAAGTAAAGGCGGCCGGTGGGATGCTGACCCCACCTTCCACTGAGTGCCAAATTAGTCTATAAAATATACGTCTAGATCTACCTGCCCAATACGATTGAAGACGTGAAAAACGATCCTTTACTTCTACTAGCCCTATATGCCCAATGAGAAGCTCACGTGAGAGTGTTCTTTGCTGCCTCTTGTCATCTTGTCCTCTTTGTTTACAACGATGTTCGTTTGCCGTACACCAATATCAATCGATCAGGCAGCGTCTCCGCGGTGAATGTGGGCTGCAGTGGATCTCCAACACGCTCTGTCTCTTGTCCTGGCTGCACACTCAGACTGCTGACCGTCCATTTCTTGATTTTGTCTTCCCACTTGTATCGTTGCCTACTTCTTGCTCTCGTGCTTTCGACTTTTCCCTCCAGGATGGTTTTCAAAAGTGTGTTATGTCTTTTAATGTGGCCAAGTATTTCAATTGTCAATTTTTTTTTTTTTTTTTTTTTTTTTTTTTATTCTCTTCTCATTGTCACCATTTTTAAAGTTCTGTATTGGACTGTTTTAGCGGCGTCCGTGGCTAAGGCGTTGCGAGTCCGACTCGTAATCCAACGTACCGCGATCGAAACCCACTGCGGGCTGCGTGGATTTTTATCGTGGCATGGGACGTCGCAGGTCGACCCAGCCTCAAATGGGTACCAGGATGGCTGTCCTGGGGAAGTAAAGACGGCCGGCGTAATACTGACCACATTACCCACCGAGTGCCGATTGGTCTGTAAAAAATATAGGACGCTCTGCCCATATGCCCGATGCCCCGAAAGGCGTGAAAAGGGATCTTTACTTTTTTTTACTTTATTGGAGTGTTTTTGTTTCCATGAAATATGACCTTTTCTTCATTATACCTACATTTCCATAAAATTATTTCGATGTTCTAGTTGCTCGTTCATAGTTTTGGTTTCTGCACCATATAGAAACATCTTATTAAAGACATATAGTCATTCCTCTTCTCTTTTTGATTTCTGTTTCGCTTCTTCCATCATCTGTTACTTCGTGTCCTAGATATGAGAAACTTGTTGCTTGTTCTAATAGCTCTCTGTTTACTGTGATGTTCACTGTTGACCGCTCTTTTCCATTGTTTATTACTATAGTTTTTGTTTTACGAATGTTAATGTCTAAACCAATGAGTCTCAAACTGTGCGCCACAGCGCCCCGATGAGCCGCGACATCTTCCCAGGGGCGCGAAATATTGTAACAGCTTCATAGTTAATTTAACCACGACACGAATAGTCATGCTTCTACTAAGGTAAGGACGCCGTGGAAAAATATATATTGAAGAAAGGCGCCGCGACCAATAACAGTTTGGGAAACACTGGTCTAAACCATACTTCACACACCGCCTGTTGACATTATCAAACAGTTCTTACTATTCCTGTTCGCTTACTGCTAGTAGCACTGCGTCATCCGCGTATCTCAGATTGTTTCTTATTCTTCCATTAATAATCCCTTCAGGCAAGTCCTTAACCTGTTTAAACATGTGTTTTTGTGTATAAGTTGAAAAGGCTTGGGAATAACACACATCCCTGACGTATTCATCTTTTTTATTTATATCTGTGGTGAGGTTTTGTTGTTGTGTCTAATTGTTGCTATTTGTTCCCTGTATAGGTTACTAATATTTCTGATATGCTTTCCATCTAATCCTACATTATGGAGACATGCAATTAGCTTGTCATGTTGCACCTTGCCAAAGGCCTTCTTGTAATCTATGAGATTGTTTAGGACAGTAATGGGCCGAAAGAATTGTCGATGAAGGATCTCTACTTATGATCGGATGACCTCTGTTGTGTATGCTCCCCTGTGGAGTTCTTCTTATCATTATTTTCAGTCGGCGTCTTTTAATTATGGCTTCGTTTGAGTAAATCAGAAGATCCTTAACAGAACGTCGCTCTCTTCACGGCATGCCTAAACGTCTGTCTTTCTCTAGACAAGTCCCCAGCCCTATGTGCTTTCATAGCCAAAGCATCTTCAATGTTCTGTATCCACGTTCTTGGAAGTCTGCCTCTGCCTCGTCTTCTGGAAACTTTACCCTCCACCATCGTTCTCTCCAGATGAAAATGTTAAAGATGTGCAAATTAGCTCAGTTTTAGGACAGGGTGCTGTCAGAGCATATAGGATGTCGGTTTTTGTTTTTGTTGGTTGAGTACATGGATGTACACCTGAGATATAAGACAGTAAGATTGTGAAGTTAATACATTTTGAAAACGCTTAGATTTTCGATACACAATCATACAATTATAAACACGTAAACAACCCTTTTAACGCCAAAAGGGTAACAGCTGAATGATGCTGAACTCATATTTATACACCAAAAAGTGATGTGGTCAGCATTACGACAGCCGCTTTTACTTCCCACCACATTACCTGGTCTCCATTGTAGCCAGGGCCACTTGGAAGCTGGTATTAATTCTGAAACAAAGAATTGTTTACCCCTAATGCAGATTTGAACCGAAACCTTTAGGCCGGCTGGCGAGCGTGTAGCTGCTAAGTTGGTTGTTTCCTTACAGCTATACACTTGCACAACTAGGTGACGTGTGACGCTAACAGGCGTCGCAACAGAAAAAACAAATGTACAAAAACGTGGGGGAGCGGAGGCTGGCTAAACCTTGTTCAATTGCGCAATAATAAAAACCTGATATAATAATTACAGTAATAATCGTCAGCAGCAGTAAGCTCAGGGATGTACAGGAGTTGGCAACAAAACACTTATGGCTTTCTAGCTAGCTGACTAACTATGTAACTAATGAACTAAACTAATCATTACTTACATAATTCTAAAATTTGAAAACATAAGATGATTCCATACTTACTCTTAACACGATATTTGTAGAAATATACGAATATGACACATGGAAAACTCCAGAGGCCAACGCCAACGCTACCAACGTTGAGCTTTGTGTTGCCATGTACCCTCTCATCTCGAGGACATACAACCCTGACACAAGCAGTGATTGAAGAACAATGGTTAAGGCGATGTATGACCAAGGCTTTAGAACTAAAGACCAGTGAGAGTTGGGTTCATGCTGCATCTTCTTCAGGGCGATGTTTCTAGCAGCGAGGATGATGTTGGAGGCAAATGCCAAGACAACCCCTGCAGTATCCGATACGCTATCAGACTTTCCTTAAACAAAAAGTAAAATAAAAGATCAATTTATGGCAAATGTTACTTAACCCCCCCCCCCCCCCAATCCCTTTTCAGCTACCAATACACACACACACACACACACACACACACACACACTCATACACAAATGCCAGAAATATTATACTGTAGAAGGCATGTCATATGAGATTCTTCTATTCCATACAAGGCCGCGCTTCAATCTTATGTTTTTTTTTTTTTTCTTTCTTTAAAAAAAAACCGTTCTATCCCGATAACTCTCTCCAGTCGAATATTTTATGGGGTGGTAGATAGGCTGCATGCAGTTGTGGGACCTGGGCTGAATTCAGTCTTGGGACCTAGGCTGCAACTCTCTCGTGGGACGTTGGTGGGTTGGGGTTAAGCCCAGTTCTAGATGTTTGGAGTAGCTAAAAGCCTCAGAAAGTGGTGAAACCTGCTCCCATCCCCCCCCCCCCCCCCCAAAAAAAAAAACTGACATTCCACAGTGTCATGCAAATCACCAGACTGGGGTATGTTTTAAGAAGACTGTGTTAGATGGCTCACCTGGTTACTTTAACACCGACAACCTTTACTTAGGAATGTTTGCATTTTTTAAAAATTTTATTTTTGGTAACGTTTTGTTCATTTATCACCAAAATATCAATATTTACCTCTAAAATCTTGTCTGTCTACGACTAATGTGTATTCTAATGAGTTTACGGTTTTGATTTCTTTGTTGATGACCTGCTTCATTTTTTTTTTTCGGTCCGTTCAAGATAAATCTTTGCATTTCCCCCTGCAAACTACACTTTCTTTGTGACTGGTATTTCCCCAGCTTACTTGTTGATGCCAATGTTTCAGATGGCTTTAATAATATATATGCTCTACCGAGCAATTTCTTCTTTTCAACCTCCACCTCTTCCTTCTCCTCCTCTTAACTGGTCTTCTTCTTCTTCTTCTTTTTCTTCTTCTTCTTCTTCTTCTTCTTCTTCTTCTTCTTCTTCTTCTTCTTCTTCTTCTTCTTCTTCTTTTTCTTCTTCTTCTTCTTCTTCTTCTTCTTCTTCTTCTTCTTCTTCTTCTTCTTCTTCTTCTTCTTCTTCTTCTTCTTCTTCTTCTTCTTCTTCTTCTTCTTCTTCTTCTTCTTCTTCTTCTTCTTCTTCTTCTTCTTCTTCTTCTTCTTCTTCTTCTTCTTTTTCTTCTTCTTTCTTTTTTTTCTTCTTAACTCTTTCTTCTTAACTTTTTCTTCTTCTTTTTCTTCTTCTTCTACTTCGTCTTCTTCTTCATCTTCTTCGTCTTCTTCTTCTTCTTCTTCTTCTTCTTCTTCTTCTTCTTCTTCTTCTTCTTCTTCTTCTTCTTCTTCTTCTTCTTCTTCTTCTTCTTCTTCTTCTTCTTCTTCTTCTTCTTCTTCTTCTTCTTCTTCTTCTTCTTCTTCTTCTTCTTCTTCTTATTCTTCTTCTTCTTCTTCTTCTTCTTCTTCTTCTTCTTCTTCTTCTTCTTCTTTCTTCTTCTTCTTTCTTCTTCTTCTTCTTCTTCTTCTTCTTCTTCTTCTTCTTCTTCTTCTTCTTCTTCTTTTCTTCTTCTTCTTCTTCTTCTTTCTTCTTCTTCTTTCTTCTTCTTCTTCTTCTTCTTCTTCTTCTTCTCTTCTTCTTCTTCTTCTTCTTCTTCTTCTTCTTCTTCTTCTTCTTCTTCTTCTTTTTCTTTTTCTTTCTTTTTTTCTTCTTAACTTTTTCTTCTTCTTTTCTTCTTCTTCTTCTTCTTCTTCTTCTTCTTCTTCTTCTTCTTCTTCTTCTTCATTCTTCTTCTTCTCTTCTTCTTCTTCTTCTTCTTCTCTTCTTCTTCTTCTTCTTCTTCTTTCTTCTTCTTCTTTCTTCTTCTTCTTCTTCTTCTTCTTTTTCTTCTTCTTCTTCTTCTTCTTTTTCTTCTTCTTTCTTTTTTGCTTCTTAACTTTTTCTTCTTCTTTTCTTCTTCTTCTTCTTCTTCTACTTCTTCTTCGTCTTCTTCTTTATCTTCTTCATCTTTTTCTTCTTCTTCTTCTTCTTCTTCTTCTTCTTCTTCTTCTTCTTCTTCTTCTTCTTCTTCTTCTTCTTCTTCTTCTTCTTCTTTTCTTCTTCTTCTTCTTCTTCTTCTTCTTCTTCTTCTTCTTCTTCTTCTTCTTCTTCTTCTTCTTCTTCTTCTTCTTGTTCATCTTCTTCTTCTTCTTCTTCTTCTTTCTTTTTTTCTTCTTAACTTTTTCTTCTTCTTTTCTTCTTCTTCTTCTTCTTCTACTTCTTCTTCGTCTTCTTCTTTATCTTCTTCGTCTTTTTCTTCTTCTTCTTCTTCTTCTTCTTCTTCTTCTTCTTCTTCTTCTTCTTCTTCTTCTTCTTCTTCTTCTTCTTCTTCTTCTTCTTCTTCTTCTTCTTCTTCTTCTTCTTCTTCTTCTTCTTCTTCTTCTTCTTCTTCTTCTTCATCTTCTTCTTCTTCTTCTTCTTCTTCTTCTTCTTCTTTTTCTTCTGTTTATTATTAATAATATTATTATTAATATTCTCCCCCTGTTACTTTGCGTCCACTGACTGTAAACGCCGGGGTAGCGTTCAGGCGAATTGTGTACTTCTTGACTTTGGTCTTATTCCAGAACTTGATTTTGCGTACACATCAATTTTACAGATCAATCTTGCTTTTTTGTTTGTAGACTGTTGGCTCCTTGTTGCGTACACATCAATTTTACAGATCAATCTTGCTTTTTTGTTTGTAGACTGTTGGCTCCTTGTTGCGTACACATCAATTTTACAGATCAATCTTGCTTTTTTTTTTTGTAGACTGTTGGCTCCTTGTTGCGTACACATCAATTTTACAGATCAATCTTGCTTTTTTTGTAGACTGTTGGCTCCTTGTTGGGGTACACATCAATTTTACAGATCAATCTTGCTTTTTTTTGTAGACTGTTGGCTCCTTGTTGCGTACACATCAATTTTACAGATCAATCTTGCTTTTTTTTTGTAGACTGTTGGCTCCTTGTTGCGTACACATCAATTTTACAGATCAATCTTGCTTTTTTTGTAGACTGTTGGCTCCTTGTTAAGTACACATCAATTTCACAGATCAATCTTGCTTTTTTGTTTGTAGACTGCTGGCTCCTTGTTGCGTACACATCAATTTTACAGATCAATCTTGCTTTTTTTTGTAGACTGTTGTCTCCTTGTTGCGTACACATCAATTTTACAGATCAATCTTGCTTTTTTTGTAGACTGTGGGCTCCTTGTTGATTACACATCAATTTTACAGATCAATCTTGCTTTTTTTTTGTAGACTGTTGGCTCCTTGTTGCGTACACATCAATTTTACAGATCAATCTTGCTTTTTTTGTAGACTGTTGGCTCCTTGTTGCGTACACATCAATTTTACAGATCAATCTTGCTTTTTTTGTAAACTGTTGGCTCCTTGCTGCGTACACATCAAATTTACAGATCAATCTTGCTTTTTTGTTTGTAAACTGTTGGCTCCTTGTGACGTACACGTCAATTTTACAGACTAATCTTGCTTTTTTTTTTTGTAGACTGTTGGCCCCTTGCCTCTCAGGCAGGTGCACTCCAGCTTCGAAAAACGATTATATATAATCAGTCGACTTTTACGTCATGCTTTTCAGTGGAGAGTGGATCTATTGCTTAACCACCCCACCCCTCCCCTTCCCGTCACAAAAAGAAATGGGCCTCGGAATCGACACAAAGAACCTAACAATGTAACCCCCCCCCCCCCCCTCTCCCCATTTCTTTTACACATGGTGCTTGTTGCTACATATCCCCCATACAAATTCTTGTTGTCATTCCTACAGTCCGTTCCAGGAGCCTTACCCAACTTTAAAACTATGTTACAGAAACCGTTCTTTGTAAGTTGGTGAAATTTGTCATTCACCTTGTTAACAATTATGTCCGTGTAAAAAATGCCTCCCTCCCTTCCCCCCCCACCCACCCCCCCCCCCCCCCACCCCCCCCCCCCCCCCCCCCCCCCCCCCCCACCCCCGTTTTTTTTTTTTTTTTTTTTTTTTGACTGTACACAAAACTCTGGGTTTTATTTTCAAGTCAGTTGTGGTTTTTTAAGCGGCGTAGACATTTGCAACTGTAAATTTTAATATCATAAGGGAATATTAAATCTAAGGTTGCATGCAGTAATTCATGTTAATCAGTTTAGGAGTTTTCGAAATTTGTTAAAGTGTGAGGGTATGACTTTTGAAATACACTATAGCTTCAGGTGTACAACTTACAGTACTGTTATTTTAAGAGATATACAAACAATATAACCACAAACCGGAGAAAGTCAATGCTCCATATACAGTCAGGGGTATGCTGATGACCGTCTGAATGGATACCGGCTTTCGGAAGATCACGTGATGTGCTATGGTCGTTGTGATTGGTTCCAGGAGTTTGATTGCTAACGTAGAGGCGGCCTTGTGGAAATATATCGAATTTATCCACAAAATACGCAATTATATCTGGCTATTTTATGTATAAATAATTTTGTAAAGCCGATAAATAAAGAAGCACGTCAACATCATCAAATTATTCTCTTTTTTTTCTTCATTTATTTGCTCGAAGTGTTAGGGACTAGAAAAATAAAAAGATCATCTGTGTATTCTGTCCAGCGTATTGTATTCGGGTTTTTTTTTTTGCCCAAGGATGTTCTTGATGCCGCGGTTCCATCTTCTGCGTGGTCTTTCTTTTGCTCCGTCTCCATTGTATTTTAACATGGCTATCCGACACCAGTCGCTTCGTAATGCCGGGATTCGATCCCAGCTGCGGGCAATGCGCCTTGCGTTGGTTTCGACAGTGGTATCAAGAAAGCCGACCGTCCAGAAGCAATGGCAAACTACTGAATGTAACTTGCCTAGAGAAACCACACAACAGCCAGGGGCTGTTAGGGTTGGTTCTGCAACGTCCTGTAAAGGATACGCAACTAACTTTTTTTTTTAACATCCGACACCAAGGCATCTTTATCAGATGGTCCTTGGTCCAGAACTTGGGTTTGCGTTTGACATCTCTGGCTTATGT